TCCTAAGCAGGACTTTTGTCTCAGAACTTTAGGGTCAGGGATGAGCTGCTTTTCATGAGCAGAGGAGTCTTATTTGTATATTCTTTTACTATATAGGGAGCTTTGGAGTTAGATAGTGACCTGAATGCCATGGTCCAAGTGTTTGGCATTTCTAAGGGTGTTCATCTGTCAACTATTACTCCCCACATTTGACCCTGTGCCATTCTCACTGGCCCAACAGATCCATGAGAAGTGTACATGTCCAAGGAGAGTGATTTTTTTCATAAAAGAGGTATTTAAAATTAAATATACCTCTGAAAGCCACAACTTATAAACATAACAAGGAAATTAAATGCTCATGACCACAGGGAACATTAAAAGTGCAAGAGGTTCCAATTCAGGTCACAGAAATTTTCATCTGTCCCAGGTTCCTCTACGCAACAATCAGAGTACAAGCTAAGGAGAGAGTGTGACCCTAGAGCATGTGGACCCTAGAGCATGTTGGAGGAGGCAGAATATCTGTGTGGATCATTGGTAGAGAGAAGTGTGAACTCTTCAGAGAAACAGACATTACTACCTGGGATGTGTTTCTTTAGTTGAGTTTTGTGCTGACTGTGCAGCATCTTCACTGCCTCATTTTAATTTTTATTTCCTAATCTATGTGTTAAAAGTAGGTTCAAACATTTATGACACCAAAGAAACTCAATCATGGCTAGGACTGCTTAGGTGAAGATTTATGTAGAAAGTGTGGAGTAGTTATGTTGAGATTTTAGAAATCAGATTATGGAAAACCTTGATACAAAACGCTAATAGAAAATGACAAATATAAATAAAAGCATAATTGACATGAAGAGCATTATTTTTATTTATCCACTGGTTACAGGATGGACAAATCATTCAAATAAATTCCCATCACTGGAGCTGGTGGATCTAACTTTATATTAAACTGTTCATCATTGTGGGATCAACATACTGCTCATCATCAGAATCTGTGTCTATATGGATCTGTGATATAGCTTTCATCAGGGAACAGGAGAATGTTTGTGTTCAAGCCCCTGTTTCTTTGATATAGTTAATTTCAGAGGAATCATCTCCTCTCTCTCACAGTCCCTATTTATGTCTGCCTGTGACTCATGGGAGCCTGTCACCATGGCCACACATGGTGGGCATCCACTGAACCCAATATTGATTGTATTGATGTTCAAAGTGGAAAAAGGAACACCGTGCATGGGGGTGAATTACCATAGATGGTGAATACACCTCATTTGATATGACACATTCTCTCTGACCCCCAGAATGCACAAGGATAAATGTGTGTAGATTGCAGTGCTAGGTGTGTTATAAGTGTTTCATTTGACATAGAAACATAGTAGAGGTTGAATGTGGGTCTTCCATTGTCAGCAAGGTCCTCACCCTGCTCTCTGTTTTGAGATGGCATTCTAACTTGCCCAGGGACAGGGACATTCACAGGGCTGTTGTCTTGGGAGAGGAGAGACTTTATTGTCTCACCATGAGTGAGGACAGAAAGAATGCTGTGATGTCATAAACAGTGTCAGGGCCTGGAATGTCTGTCAACCCTTGACTTTGCTGCCAGAGGTCATCTCTGTGATGCTTGGTCAGAAGGAAAAACATAGAACTCTCCCTTTTTGCTAACCCAAAAAGCAAAAGGGGAGATTTCTATGTTCTTCCTTCTGACCAAGCATCACAAAGATGACTTTTGGCAGCAAAGTCGAAGGTTGACAGGTATTCCAGGGGAGTGGGAGGAGGAGGAGGGGGGAGAAGGTACAGAAGATAAGTAGGATAGATGGTAGGTAGAAAATAGATAGGGGTGAGGGCAAGAACAGTATGGGAAATGTAGAATCTAAATAACTTGAGATAAGTGGTCATAAAGTAAAGAGGGGAATGGTGGGGGAGGGGTGTGCAGGGTGGAGGGGAATGAAGGGGGCAATAGAACAACTGTAATGGCATAGTCAGTAAAATATATTAAAAACAGAAATCTCCCCTTGACTATGTACTTACTTTTCTGTTACGGATCCTGTTCAGCAGAGTCTACCTACTGTGGTTGACCACGAGAATCGATGCACCGGGGACAACAATCTTGTGTGGATAAAGGGAACAGGCATGACTATTCTCTCAAGGGGAGAGTGCTTGTGGTGCTTCGACCACTCCCTCAAGAGGGGAGTGCCCCAACCCTTGCCTAGACCAGCTTGTATCATTTCCCTTGGGTCTTACATCATAGAGAGATTTATTATCTAACACATAGAACATTATTGTCTACATTCTAGGTACAATCAAGGAAATAAAAATAGCATGCAGAGGGGGATGACAATGAGCTCATTAGCTCTGTCCTAGGGAGAGCTCACACAGGCTTTGGAAGTTACCTTGAGGATAAACAATATACATTTGTTGCTTTAGATCAGGGTGAGGGAGTTTTAGCAAGAACAAGCCATAACAGTCTGTAAGTATTTTCTAGCCCTGATTCCCATGGGAAAACTTGGTTTGAAGCTCTGGCTCCTGTCCACCACTTTGCATCTATAGGTTTTCCATACAGAGCTGAGTCAAATTGGCCAGGCCAAGACAAACTGGTCTCCTACACTATTCCCCAAGCAAAATCCCATTTTTTTTCAGAAATAAGGGAATGTCCTAGTACTAGCTTGGAAGACACCTCTTTTGAATCCCCAAAGGTGACCCTGACCAAGGATTCCCAGATGATGTCTCAATGAAGTGCTTCACTCAGAGGACAGGGAGGCTCCAAATGCGCTCTCTGCACAATCACACAAAATAACAGGGGTGATTTCAGGGGCATGTTCCCTGTATCTCTCTTACATTGCATCTGGTCTCTTGAAAACATTCCCTGAGTCTGATGTGCCTCTGGCAGCAGCTTTTCTGAGCTCAGATTCCTGACTGTGTTCCAGGAAGTCAGGAGGTCCATCACACTGTCATCTTCTTAGTCCAGCCAAGCTGTCCCACTTTTCAGGGTTGGTGACACACTAAGGTTGTGGGTCATCACACTGTGTCACTTGAATACTACTGTATGGCTGTGTCCATGACTTCAGACCATTTATATGCAGATAGGCTATGATGGTAGAGGTTTCCATGCAGGAGACCACATGTTATGAAAAGCCCTGGGCAAACATGGGCTTCCCACTGTTTGTTTTGATCTGGACAATGTATTGCAGGCCCTCTCCTGGGGCATGTCTCAACCAGATCATAGCTTAGCTGGTGATCATGTACCCAAAGGCCTTGAAGGGGGCCTTCACTTGGCCCCCAGTCTTCCTCTCCACAACCCCAGACTGCAGCAGGCACACCTGGGAGTAGACACCTGTAGAGAGGAGGCTGGAGTGGGTGGAAATCCATCTTGAGACTCCTTTGTTTCTTCCCAGACCCAGGAGCTAAGGAGCCCCATACCTGTAGCCAAAGCCACCAGGGAGAGGGCTCTCTTGCTCCAGTCCATGGTGAGGGGCTGTGACATCGGGTATTCTATAGGGGAGGGTGTGGACGTAGGTGATGTTCTCAGGGTACAGACAGACCCACATTAAACCTAATCTACCTCATCTCATTTCATAGTCATGAGGCAGAGTGTTTCACAGCTGATTATTTTACTATACCTGAGAGAAGGTCAAGGGCACAGAGACCAAGGGCACAGGGACAACGGGCATGCTGAGTGGGAGACTCAGGGTCCAAGTTCAAGTTAATGTTATCAGATGTATGTCCCCTGCCAGGACCCTGAACTCTGTGCAGATACAGCTCCTTCCACTGAGGAACAGGCCCCCACAGGACATGCTTCTCATTGAGAAGCCACATTTGAGTGTAATAGAGACTGAACCAGTTCTGGGTTTTAATGCCTAATGTCTTATTCCTGAATCAGTGTGTCTTCAAAATGCAGAACTTAAAAGATCTTAAAAGGACTTAAATTTAAAAGACCATCCTGGTCACCACTCCTTAACGTTAATGTATAAAGAAGCTCTTGAATTACTGCCATTGACTGTGGTTCTCTTATCAAGTATTATACATTCTCTGATAGAATGAGATATTTACTGACTGTAAATATGTCCCCTGTAAGGGGTAGGTATGAGGTGACTCTTCATAACCTCCCCTTATTTTAGATGTTTTTATGAAAAGAGGAACACTCAGGCCCTCAGTATAGACACCACCTCTGCCCCCTCTCCCCCTGGTCCTGGGGCAGCAGACCTGAGATCACAGGTTTCATGTGCCCCCTAATGCCCAATCTATGCCCTGAAGGGAAAGGTCCTGTCTGGGCTCATAGAACATAAATTTGTCAGCACCTCTAGTCTGGAATTAAAAGTTATGGTTTTAGGATGCTCCCTCTGGGACACCATGTGTTTAGACATCAAAGCATAGTGATGGTTAATATTTTCAAACCCCAGCGATTCTGCAGGGAGCCACTACACCTGGAGCTGTAAAGAAACCAGGGAGTCTCTTTGCTTGGCATGCCAGATGCATCGACTCAGCCAATACCCTTGAGTCCAGTAGACCTCAGGGGGTTTTGGAGTTGATGTCCTCAGGTTCTTCTGCTTGAAGGTCCCATCTAAGTATCCTAGCATGGGGTCGTAATTCCACTGCACTTCTACTGCTCAACGAGTCACACACACACACACACACACACACACACACACACACACACACACGTGCACGCGATTCTCATGGTAATGAACTCCAGGTCTCTCTTCTTCCCTCTTCCTAGTACATGGGCAGAATCCGTACTCACACTCTGAGTGAGTGAACTACGTTAATGACATAACAGAAGCAAACACAATTGATGTGAAGACTAGAGACTGCCCACCTGGTTGTTGCTTATTCTCCCAGCACCTGGAACCTGAAAAGTCCATGGTGAGAAGGTTCCAGTTGTTATTGGGGTGGGGTTAGTTCAAGGATGCCTTTGTCCAATCAGTGTAGACAACTCTGGCCTGACTTGTAGGGGGTGTCTCATTGACCTACAGCCCACAAGCCTACATTCTCAGAGTTCACAACCAGGACCCCCGAGGTCTGAACTATGGGCATCACTGGACCAGTATCTCCCCAGCAGCACAAGCAGGGTCTGATGCAGGAAAAGGGGACTCAGAAAAGTGGTCCTGGGATGTCAGATTCTGTTGACCAGATTCAGAGTTGTTTTCCACTGGGCTGCCTGCTACGTGAGCGCCCCCTGGTGTTCTGAGCGTTCCCTGCAGCCCAGCCCTCCAGTTTCCTACAAAAAGGTTTTTGTGCGAGATGCCCTCACTTCCCCTCACTGTGTCTCTTGCACAGTAATACACAGCTGTGTCTTCGGTGGTCATGGAACTCAGCTGCAGGGAGAACTGGTTCTTGGACGTGTCTCTGGAAATGGTGGTGCGGCTCTTGAGAGCCGGACTGTAGTAAGTGCTTCCACTACTACTTATGTACCCGATCCACTCCAGCCCCCTCCCTGGGATCTGGCGGATCCAGCTCCAATAGTAACCACTGGTTATGGAGTAACCAGAGACAGTGCAAGTAAGTGAGAGGGTCTGTGATGGCTTCACCAGTCCTGGGCCTGACTCCTTAAGCTGCACCTGAGACAGGGCACCTGAGAACAAGAAATATAAGATCCTGTTAGACATGTGCAGTAGCCACCATCCCATAGATCTAGACTTGACACCCAAGACACTCACCCTGGGGGGCTGTCACCAGGCACAGGAGAAGACCCAGCAATCTCATTTTCTTCTAGAGCACAGTTCTGCCTTCCCCAGAGACCTCAGCCCTGTGTGAGAAGAGAGCTGTGATCACCCACAACTCAAGGGAGAATGTACCTAAAGCTGGGAGAGAAATTTGCATATGGGGTGCTCTGTTCTCATAAGTGGAAAAGGGCTCAGGTCACCACCCCATCTCCTTCTGGGTTCTGAGCAGATTTCTTCTATTGGACTTGATGGCATGGGTCAGGGATGAGAAAAGAGTTAGTTTATGAGATGCCTTGAACTCAGGAAAAGGGACTCCCCAGTTTTCTATGTTTAAAAATTGATGCTGATCAAGATTCAAGGATCATCCTATTATAATCCTGTAGATAATGAAACTGATTAACATTATGCCCAAACATATTCCCAGTCCTAGGAAACACATGAAGTAGACTCATCATTTCCAGACTGGATTATCATATTTTCATGTAAAACGCTATTTGGTGTGATAATTATTACAAAGTGAAGAAGAGCCTTTCCCTTCATGAGGCCGAGGTGCCCAGGGCCTGCAGATGGTGGTGCAGGTGCAACCTCTGTGTCTCAGTCAAGCTGCAGGGAGCAAGATACTCTGGTAAGGTCCTGCTTCCCGGAGTCCAGCCCTAGCCCTGCAGCTGTCACAGGTGTTACACATGCTGGGTCCTTTCGTTAAGAGATCACTTCCCCCAGGGCAGTGCAGCCCTGTCCCTCAGTTGAGCCACTCAGGAGGTGTTCAGGGTTCCTAGATCAAATGAGGCTCTGAGACACAGGGGTCACTTTTTCTTCCAGACACACAGGTACTGGTTATGCCACTAATGGTTCTGAGATGTGTGTGAATTATCTGACCTAACTCCTAGTCATAGGTTGTCAGTTTGGAACGTTCCTTCCCCCATTAACCTGAGGTCCTTGAGCAAGTATCTGGAGGCTGATGTCCTGGGAAGTAGACAGGGAGCTAATAATGGGTCAAGGTTCATATGGAGGAAAACAAAGTTCAGACTAGAAGCATCTTTCAATAAATCAAAAAGCTGCATGGAAGTGCATGATGGGATTTAACTTTCAGGTAAATGATTGAAACCAGGTTTGCTCCCCTGAGTCTTGCTCACCCTCCATACACAGAGCATTCCCATTGCAGTCCCATTATTTAACAATACACAGCAAGGACTGGGGCACATCTGACAGACTGGGGACACTCATGGACCAGACCTGAGATTTGTTGGTTACAGAGTTCTCAGGAGATTGCTCCTTTGTTGGCAAGAGAGCTGAGAGTGAGGGGTTGGTGCAGCCACATGGAACCAAGGTGAGGCCTGTGCTGGGGATGGCACCAATGCCTTGAAGTTTCTGGGGGAAAGCTGTGAGGAGCCCTTGGCACTGACCAACAGTGACCAGAATGAAGAACAGCAAAGTGGATTTTTAGGAAGAGAAGCAGTGAGAACAACTCCAGTGAAGAGCACACCATTGCCCAAGGGGAAAACTGCTCTATAACCCATTCCTGTTCCCTCCACCAATATGAGGACACTGAGCCCCCCTCAATGGCCAGGGCTGCCCTGTGATGTGTATTATGATCTAGCCCTTGAGTCCCTCAGACTAGACATGTCCTCCTCTTCCTCACCTGCCTCTGCAATGCTGCCCAAGGTGCATTCCAGGTGACACTTGGGCTTCTCTCTGTCCCAGTTTTCAAAGAACTTTAGAGACCGTGACCCCAGATAGAGGAACCAGTTGAAGGTCTTGCCATTTTCCTCACTCCAATACTGAATGAGAGCAGAGGGAAGTGTTGGATACCTGACTCAGGGACACTGAACAGTGACAATTCATGGGGACAAAGTGTTTCCTGAGAAGAGAGGGTCCACGTTGTGCAACATGGTACAGTGTCTGATGAGTGTCATGGACATTTGTGCATCCCCCTCCATCATCCTTGTGACACCTTTAGGAAGAGAGTGCTGGAACTTAATGTCACACCACACAATTTTCATCACAATTAAAGAGGTGTCTGTGTCCTTGAAATGTTCTGCACCCTCTTGGGACATGAGTCACCTTCTCTATCTATCTCCACACATCTATCTAACTCATGCTGTGTGGCAACCATTCAATGCCAGATAGGTTCATGGGATTCAGCCACATGGAAGGACATTCATGGAGATGTTCAGATGTCTTACATGCCTTTATTCAAATGTTGGCAATCCACCCATGCTGCTAGCTGTGTGTCTCCTTGCTTGCCCTTGCCTGTCACCTGTGTGTCTCCTGCCCTCTCTCTGTGTACCAAGAGGGAAGTCCAAAATCTCTTATATACTCAAATATAGACAAAGTTGACTGGGAGCCAACAGATTGTACAACAGAGCTTCACTCTCTCCATGCAAGACCACTCAAGGCTATGGGAACCACTTATCAGGCACAGTCTCAGGGCTATGAGAACACTACTTATCAGACCTGTTTTCAAGCTTATGGGAAACTGTCTCCCTTAGACACAGTTTGATCTGGATGCATATCCAAATGTTTTACATATTCAGAGACAAACATGGAAAGGACTGTGAATTCTTGTATATCCCATATTTTTTAGAATAAATATTCAGATCATATTTTTATTAGTAAAAGGTAACTGAAATCTATGGAATAACTGGATTCATAGCAATACTGGCCAATAGTCAGAAAAAATTGATTATGGGGCCACATGAACTGAAGACAATTATAGATTTGTAACTGTTGCTGAACAAATTGCTAATTTTTAATATTTTTTCAGATGTAAGAAACCTAGCATTTTTCTTAAAGCAGATTGGTAAATTAACTTGAATAATAAATACTGAGGCATACACATATTCCCCCTGTTTGATCCCTCTGGAATTTGGAGACATAATGAATGAATATAATTATTTCCACCATAATATATTAGATTGAATATTTAAAGCAGGAACCTGCTAGATGTATTATAGTACACATAAAGCCATTTTCCAGTTGTGCTTTTATCAACTAAGACTTCTTGTAGAATGTCATGTCAGAGAGAGACTTGCTTAGACTCTGATGTCAGCAAAAGCTTTAAGGATGTAGAATGACTTTTTAAAAAAGATTTTATTTATTTATCCCCAGAGGGGAAAGGAAGGAGAGAGGGAGAGAACTGGCCTGCAACCCAGGCATGTGCCCCGACTGGGAATCGAATCGTGGTTGCTTGGTTCCCAGGCCCGCGCTCAATTCACTGAGCTGCACCAGCCAGGGCTAGGATGTAGAATGACTTTTAAGCCAATACAAATTACTTGGAGAAAGGGCCTAGTACCTTGCTTATTCAGAAGGTTCATGGAAGTCTTTCCAGGCAAGGAGAGAAGGTTGCTTTCATGGGAAAAAGGCAGGGGAGAGATCAGGACATTTTGGAAGATCTCAAGAACTGAGGGAACTCACTCAAAGTTACAGGTATAGCAGTAAAAATTGATAGCAACCATGTGGCTTGACTTCCCAGATTCATGGGGTGAATTAAATTTCATCCTGGCCATTTCTTATAAGAGCCCAGTGAAACACATTTAAGAGAGCCTACATAATCAATGGTTATTCCTGTTATGTTTCTGCAAATAATGAAGCAGAATTGAAATTTAATGCTTTAAATAAAGTAGCCTTTGTTTGGCTTTTTGAAAAAGTGAGTGTGATTCTATGTAGAGAAATTATGTTTCAATAGACTTTGTACCACACAATTATGGACATTAAACTCTAGTTAAGTGACTACCTTCAATGTTTGTAACTTATAAACAGAACTGGATCATAACTTTTTCTAGCTTCTTCAATAACACTGAGATTTGTCACACAATTTGACTACCCCATTTTAAAGCCCCACTTCTACTCAAGGAGTACCACTTTCAGGAACCATCTGCACCTTTGTCTGTGCCCAGACCACACCTCCCCTCTGAGAGCAAACATTTTTGTCTCTAAAGGAAAACAGCATCCCTCTTCAGCAGGAAGCAGTTTAATAAATAATCTGTCACCATTTTCCCTTAAAGGATTCATAGTCAAAATTCTTGAGCAGGAAAGAGAGCAGCTACTTAGACAAAATCAGAGTAATAATGAGAGTCCAGGTATCAATTGTCACCAAGACAGAAATCTCAGGTGCCTGGCAACAGGCATGTGAAAACAAATGAGTAAATAAGGGCACATAGGCTGATGGTGAACAGGCATGTTGACTAGGATAGTGGATTTGAAGGCCCAGGGCCTCCTGTAGACACTTCCCAAATCATCATTATTTCTCCACAGGAGCCAAAGACACACTTGAGACCCATGTAGTCAGTATAAAACACCAACCTGACTATGACAATTCAGTATTGGTGAAAGGAGTAATGAGACAAATGCAGCAACAAGCATGCCTCAAACCATTAAAACTTCAAGCCAGAGATTTAAGTTTTCACACTGCTTACTCTATTTGCATGAATATTCCATTCTTTTGCTGGAACTGGCCTTGTTGTATAAATTGCCTACACAAGAAACTTTTTCTCCTAAAAAAAACTGCTTTCTCTCAGGTCCCAAGAAAGTATGTATCCCATCTCCAGGTTTTTTAACCTATTCAGAAAACAGAGAGAAGACGTGCTCCTTCCTGAGATTTACAAGCAAGTCATCTAAATGTTTCAGGTGGATGGGAATACCAAGTGGTCAATCAACACGCCCACAAATCACCCAAGGTCTCCCCAGAAAAATACAAGATGATAAACTTTTCTTTAGATGTGCTCTATTAAAATGATGGGGATCAGGTGCACATTGGTATGTACTTCAGAATGTCTCCAAGAGTTACATCACTGTAGCCAATGAAATTGACATTTTATTTCCTAATATTCAGAAATCTCTACACTATCTCACTAGAGTTGTCTTAAGTAATCAACTTGCCTTAGACTACATACTAACAGAGCAAGGCATTTGCATAACCGTCAACTCTTGTTATTTTCCTTACACTAAATCCTGAGTTCAGATGGAAACAAGCATCAGCAGAATGAGGTAACAAGCTGCCTGGTGTCAACAAACATTGGACTATCACACCCATCTCTTTGAAGCAACTGGATATTGGTTGATGAGTCTATATTCATGAATACCACAGTGACTCAGGTTCATAGAGTAGTAATT